AAATAACACCAGCATAGACCCCAGATAGCACACCACGGATACGAACCATGACGCAGCATTATCATGATGATGTAGACCATGATGACACCACAGCCACGAAACAAACGCGCAGACAACGTCCTAATGAGATCAGCAGCATAATGATGATTTTGAGAGCAATCCGGCAGAAAAAAGCAAAAACAACGTCCTGATGAGTTCGACAGCATCATGATGATGCGGACAGCATCATGGTGATGCGGACAGCATCATGGTGATGCGAACAGCATCCTCCTGATGGTAAAGGCAGCATCATGATGATACCACAGCCACGAACCATCTTGCGACAGCTTGATGAAATTCTGCATCATCCTGATGTTGACAGCATCACGGCGCCACTACACCCACACACCATAACGTGGGAACATCATGACGATACACCAGCCACGAACCGTTACACGCGAACAGCATCCACCAGCACCCCAAACATGCCCCCTAGCACCCGGCATCCACCCGCGCCTCAAACTGCATGCCCCTTAGCCCGGCCGTCAAGCTCGCAAAGCAGCATCCACCAGCACCCCAAACTGCATGCCCCCTAGAACCGGCCGTCAAGCTGGCACAACAGCATCCACCAGCACCCCAAACTGCATGCCCCCTAGCACCCGGCCAGCTCGCAAAACAGCATCCACCAGCAGCCCAAACTGCATGCCCCCAGCACCCAGCCGTCAAGCTCGCAAAACAGCATCCACCAGCACCCGAAACTGCATGCCCCCCACCCGGCCGTCAAGCTCGCAAAGCAGCATCTACCAGCACCCCAAACTGCATGCCCCGTAGCACCCGCAAAGCAGCACCCACCAGCACCCCCAACTGCATAGCACCCCGCCCTCAATCTCGCAAAGAAGCATCCACCAGCACCTCAAACTGCATGCCCCCTAGCACCCGGCCGTCAAGCTCGCAAAGCAGCACCTACCAGCACCCCAAACTGCATGCCCCCTAGCACCCGGCCGTCAAGCTCGCAAAGCAGCACCCACCAGCACCCCAAACTGCATGCCCCCTAGCACCCGGCCGTCAAGCTCGCAAAGCAGCATCCACCAGCACCCCAAACTGCATGCCCCCCATGCCCCCTAGCACCCGGCCGTCAAGCTCGCAAAGCAGCACCCACCAGCACCCCAAACTGCATGCCCCCTAGCACCCGGCCGTCAAGCTCGCAAAGCAGCATCCACCAGCACCTCAAAAAACTGCATGCCCCCGAGCACCCGGCCGTCAAGCTCGCAAAGCAGCATCCACCAGCACCTCAAACTGCATGCCCCCCAGCACCCGGCCGTCAAGCTCGCAAAGCAGCATCCACCAGCACCTCAAACTGCATGCCCCCTAGCACCCGGCCGTCAAGCTCGCAAAGCAGCATCCACCAGCACCTCAAACTGCATGCCCCCTAGCACCCGGCCCTCAATCTCGCAAAGCAGCATCCACCAGCACCTCAAACTGCATGCCCCCTAGCACCCGGCCGTCAAGCTCGCAAAGCAGCATCCACCAGCACCTCAAACTGCATGCCCCCTAGCACCCGGCCGTCAAGCTCGCAAAGCAGCATCCACCAGCACCTCAAACTGCATGCCCCCTAGCACCCGGCCCTCAATCTCGCAAAGCAGCATCCACCAGCACCTCAACTGCATGCCCCCTAGCACCCGGCCGTCAAGCTCGCAAAGCAGCATCCACCAGCACCTCAAACTGCATGCCCCCTAGCACCCGGCCCTCAATCTCGCAAATCACTTTCCCCTCTTTATTAGAAGTTAGAACCCCTATAGCTTTCAGCTATCTGGGGAAAAATGGACACCCACGTGGAACCGACTGGCGATCCCTGGCCGGCTGGTTTCCTCTTGATTTCTTGGTGAGGGTGACCTTTGCAACGGCGCCCCACCTAAACATCATTGGACCATGTTAGAATAGCTAGTGATGGGCACCCTACTCACCAAAAGGAAGCTTGATTTAAATGGTTCTTCATGCAACTTTGACGACAATTTCAACACCTGAAACAAAATGCCCTTTACCTTTTTCCCTCCCCCCCTCCCCCCCCGCGACTCTTGGTGGAACCGCTGGAAACCTCCGACAAAGAAACAAAAAATACACGACCGGCCAGCCGCTCCATGGGCACCACGCTGTGCACCACGGCCATGAAGCCCAGACCCGTCATGCTGCCGAAAAGGCCCACCGACAAGCCTCCGGGCTTGTCGGGAGAAATGGGTGCGGTGTCCCCCAACCAACCGGAAACCTGGAAAGACATCTAGGAGAACACTCATCCACATTCTACTTTGCGGATGGCTCAAACTCCTCGACTTGAACCGAAACCAATTCCTGGAACACTAGGGAAGCTGTGGATGGACAAAATCTGTGTGAGAGAGAGACAGAAACACAAAGACAGAGACAGAGACACGAGGTGGAGCCTGACCCGCCTAGCGGGCTGGACCCCCAAACACAATGCCAGAGTTGTCGTGTGTCATCGCAAATAAAAGATGGACCCCCTGCAATTTCAGCAACAATCCCTTCGGATGTCCTGTTCATTTCTCTGGGAATCAAAAACCAACAGACCAGACCCGAATAAATGGTTGGCCGGTAAGTGTGCTTCTAAACACCATGCGAAGCGGGCCCTTTTCGTGTTTTAGGAAACACCTGTACTGAACGCGAGGCAAATGTGTTTCTGCTGATGGCATGGTGCTCTGGCAAGTTTTGCAGCTGGCATGGGGAGGCAGGAGCTTGTTAGGAACAGC